CGTTTTTTCAACGAAATCTGTAATTATCTTAAAAACGGCGAGTCTGCGGCAAAAAACTGTTCTTACCGAAATGAAGGAGCATGAAATGTCCATGCTAAAATGCTTATGAATACACTAGGGGGTCCGCCCACGGAGCGCTATGCGGTCCGAACCAACGGCGGCTACCACGCGGCGAGTCTCAGTTTGGCCACGCCATGAATTGATGAGGTCCAAATGAAACGGCTTCACTTTTTTGGTAGATTTACCGCGAAGGTAAGTTATATTATCCATTTAAATATGTTCTTATTTCCTTTCATCACAAACCCCCCCCCCCTTTATGTCGTTCATGTTATACAGTTAATAACTGTCAACGGTCACTATTCAAATATTATTTGTCAAACAACTAATCTATTTTTTCCATCGTAACCAAAAGGAAATGAATTAATACAAAATATAATAAAGAGAAGACGAGCATTTCTTCGTTTATTACCTTAAGCAGTAGTTGCGAGTTCTATTTCATCGTCTGCTTCCTCCTCAATCAGTGCTTCTGCTTTATTGCTGCATCCCAAGCCGGAACGGTATGGATAAATATCACTGCATGGTAGACCAGCTCTTTTATATACTGCAGCCTTTAGAACATGTACATGAGATGATGTGTAAAAGTTCTTGGGGGGCAGGCGGGCTGAGCATAGGCACAGGAAGTAGCCCGAGTTCCGAAAATTTCCAACCCCATTCCTTGAGATTCAGATGTTGATTCAAGTGTCTCTCCAGAGTTGAACTTGAAAATACACAGGCTGTCCAAAAAGTAATGCAATGATCGACTTTAAGAGCGAACGGAAAAAGCTAAAAAAAAATCGCAGTACATATTTGTGTACCTAGACGAAGTAAAAACCGATAAAATGAGACCTTGTTGAGCTCTTTTGGTCACAAATTGACCGAGATAAGACGTCTCACCCGCGGCATATTGTGAGACCGCCTCCAGGATTTTAGGGGTACCTACTTTTTGAGAAGAAAAGAACGAACTAGCGACAAATACTGCTTCTGTCTGAACAATCGTCCCTGTACTTTTCTTTCATTTCTAGGCCTTGTCTCCACGGGACGTTTTCATAGGGTTTGTCCCAAGTTCGAATCGCAGGAATGAAACTTCTGGGATTTTTCCCAGTTACCGTCTCCACGGGATGGGGCTCATACGGTCCTGCGACTAGTTCGCGCGGGAAGATAAATTTGTTAAAGTCGAGTATTTAACCGGGATTAAAATAATAATTGCACCCAATTGGCAATTAGACACATTATTTTAACAAAACAAACATGAACAATGGAGTAATCAACAAAATATCGCACAGTTCGTTTTCACTTCTTCCTCTCTCAGTGGGTCCTTGAGGTACAAGGACCAAACTTGGTACTGGGAAAAATATTGATTAACTCAATATTTTTCCCAACTTCGTAAGTGGGATTTTTCCCTCCCTGCTAAAAATTTCTCATGGGAATTTTACTCAGGCTGTGTTGGGCAGAGAAATAATTCCCCTGAGAAGTGGCTCCCATGGGAAGTTCCCTAATCCGTGCCCAAAATGCCGTCTCTACTAGCATAGCCATAGAAAAAAAAGATTTAGGATTAAATACGCAAATTAATTCGCACTATTGCCGTGCCATGTTTCAGACATGAAAGAAATTCTTAGCAATTTTGCGAATCTCCGCACCGCGGTCATTCCCAAGCGGTCTCCCATCTAAGTTCTAACTACGCCCGATGTTACTTAACCCCCGTGATCGCCCGATTGCCGCTGTCGTGGAGCTCCGGAGGCTCGCGTGTTCATCGAGGGTAATTTAGTATGCATAAACGTCCCCAGCGCCGCGCCGATGCCATGATGGAAAGCAACAATATTCTTGGAAATTTCTACATTACGCAGTTTCAAAGAAACAAAAATAACAAGAAAGTAGATCAATTTTTGGAAGGCAAAGAAGTGAATAACACAGTGATAACACATTAATCAAATAAACACAAAAAAAGTATATGTAGTTATTAAAACGAATAAATATACATGAGTGAAATTGAATAAAATAAAATAAAAAATGACTAAATATATCATATAAATTAACATAAATAAACCAAAATAAAGGAAATTATAAATAAATAAATAAATAGATTAAAATAAATAAATAAATAAATCAAATTAAATAAAGTAGATTAAAATAAACAATTTATAAGTAGAACAAAATGTACTTTAGTAAATAAAAAATATGTTCAATTATTTAAATGGACTAGTAGTGTATCGAATTTATTCGGCTCCAAAGCATCTTTTGGCTATAACGCACCTGATAAATATTATGAAAATTAATCAATTAAGAAAAAACGGTAAATTAAAAAGATCAATAAATAAAAAACTCAATAAATAACAAAATCATTAAATAAATAAAATGAATTGAAAAATAAATAAAATAATATAAAAACAACCGAAAAGCCGGAAGTCCACCAACCAAACCTTAAAGCTACGGGACGCGCGGGGACGGATCGAGGGACGGGACTGAAGATCCCCAGACTCCCATGGGTGCACAGGTGACCCCCTGTTCACTTCTTTGGGAGCACAGGAGCTTTCCTGGCTATTCCTCAGGTGCGAGCACATGTGTATCTCGTGTCCATTCTCAGGAGAAATGTTTATCGGGGTATAACTTGTAAAGCATCTAAAGTAGATAAAGACGCAGTGTTTTTTTCGCACTGTACCTGTTCCCAAGTTTGGTGACGTCTTTGTAGGACGCAGTAAGGTCTTGTATGCATTTCCAATGAATATAGTTCTGTGATGCTCCACTGTGGTGGACTGCAGTCACATATAGGCCCGTGGCGTTTTCCCTGAAGTTCTATGGTGATCCACAAGACACCATGAGAGGCCCCACGAGAGCACTTACGGGTCACATATACGCTCTCATGGGAGCACGCGGGTCACATGTCGGCTCCCAGGGGAGCGCATGGGTCACATGTTAGCCAGAACCGTACCCTTCGTCAGGTCCTTTGACGAAGACGAGCGTAAAATCCCCAGAGCCTCCGCAGGGATTCGAACCCGAGTCGCAGCGGTGGTAGGCCAGCACATTGCCACTAGGCTATGACCACTATATATATGGCTATTGAGTGCGAATTCAAGCCTAGATGGATCGGCGCTTCGCAACCTCACAATTTTTGTCATTGTGTAGACTGACACCGAGTTTTCATTGGACTTTTTTTAATTTTCCCTCCTCTGTATTGTATTTCATACCTTGAAATGCGGTCGGTAAAACAAGGTTCTATTGGTAATCTTATCATCATTCTGTCTTGGTAAAATTACCAATAATAATAATAATAATAATAATAAACCACATTGCGAAAGAAGCAAACAAGTTTGAAGCCGAGCTCGGAGAAAACTTTGAAGTGGCCCCCATAAACAGCAGGAAACAAAAAATCAAAAAGAAAATCTCAGAAAGCATCAGAACCAAATGGAAAGGAAAGATCATGCACGGGCAGTATCCACTGATGCTAGAAAATGACTCTATCGAGAGTAATCTCTCTACCATCTGGCTCAGTAAAGGTGTACTAAAAGCAGAAACAGAGAGCCTAATTGTAGCGGCACAGGATCAAGCCTTAAACACAAGGTACCGAGAGAGGAAAATCCACAAGAAACAT